ACCCTCCTTGCACGATTGTCACGGCTGTAGTGTTGCTTGCGATTTCTCTAGATTCCGTTCGGTAGTTCAAGGCTGAACCACTACCATTTGTTCGATGGTCTACAACCCAACTACCACCATTTGTTCGGTGGTTTACATTCGAACTTCCACCATGTGTTCAATATTGAGTTTTTCTAACCAAGTGAGATGATTTCAAATGAAGAAAATTTGAACACAAGCATATAGGAGAGGGTTCCAGGATAGTTGTATGGGTGGCAGCGATGGCAAATGACTGAGATTCGTGGAATGAGAGATTTGGGTGAAAAAAAATGAGGAAGAGGATCGCTAAAGGAAGAAGAAGAAAGATGGAGCTAAGGAGATGGGCTATCAGAAATGAAAAGTCGCCGGTGAGGAAGGGGGACTGAAGTAGGGTCTCCAGTGGAGAAGAAGGGCCGTGGGAGGGTTATTGGTGAGGGAAAGGGGTTGCCGGAGGTAGGGAGAGATTGTCTGTTGAAAAATGTTGGGATGAAAGTTTAAAGGGTACATTTGAGATTATGGAATGGGTCTAAAGAAAAAAAAGAAATGGAGCAATTTTGGTGGTGAGAGTTTAAAGAAGTGAGGGGTCCTTAGAAGAAAGATAGGGATATCTAGCAATTCTCTTAATTTAAAACAACAACACTATTACATTCACTGAATTTATGTCCACCCGAATTGCCCAAATGAGGTGGAAAGTCTTACTCGTTTGTTTGCTCCAGTTACCTCAAAAAAGTATGGGTTCACACGCTAGGAAAAAGAAGAGGCACTGAATCAAAAAATCAAACACTCAAGACTACCTCTCTCATTGACGTCGCTGCCTCTCTCTCACTGACCGCCAAATATGTTTCTCTCTCATGAACAACCACCATCCACCACTGACCACCTCTCTCCTCTAATCGCTCTCAACCCTTTTTATCTTCGTTTTTCTTTGATCTCAATGTGAGCAAGAGCCAAGAGATTAATAGAAGAATCAGAAAATAGAGTGGTGTGGATGCAACCATCAAAATTGTAGATACAAATATTTATTTAAATTTAAATTATTTTAGATGACGAAATCCTCATTTTAGAGGCAACACAACCCATCTCTGTTTTCTTGCTAAGTTCAATTGAGAGTAGTGGTTTTGCTTTTACAAACTAGACTAGAGCAGAGAGGAAAAAAGGTGTTTTGTGTGTGTGTATGTGTATGTGTGGAAAAATATGGGTGAAAAGATGTGGAGTTTGTGCCAAAATGGAGGTCATGTGGGTTTTGATCATTGGAGTTTTAAAGAAAGAGAGTGAAAATGGTGCTTTAAAACCCACAATTTCCTACTATTCTTGCTTCTCACTCTAGTGCAGTGACTTGCGATCTGCAACAGCAGAAAAGAGGGTTGGACTTGCAGCGGTGAGGTTCATGAAAGGGGGTAGGTAGTACACGGTGGTCGGTGGAGGAGTGACAGCGAGGGTGTGGAGGTCAGTTCTCCGATCACCCATTCCCATCTTCTTCTTTTTTTCTTCACAAGTCATATCTGAAAGAGGAGAGAGAGACCACCGTTTGTTTGAGAGAAATAGAGAAGAGAGGGAGAGAACACCGTTGGTAACTTGGTGTAGACACACACAGCGAAGAAACAACATGGGTCTTTGTTTTGCTTTTGTTGGTGCCATGTAATTTGGGCATAGTCGGGGCTGTGGACCAAACATCATTGTTAAAATAATTTTAAATTTATATTCATTTTTCATAATCATTAGATAAGAAATGAAAATCTTTTATTACATAAATAAAATGGAGAGGATCAAATTGGAGAGTAAAGATTATGCAAAATATTGTTTAATTGGCTAAAATTGTTTAATTTGCACCGATTCACTTGCTAATTGCGAGTTGATTTGATATTAATTTCAAATTTATAATTTGTTTATGAAATCGTCCCCTTCTATTAGGGGTGTCCGCAATGTAGTTTGGGCAGTTTGAGAGTTAAATTATGAACTAAACCGTAAATGGTAGGTTAACAAATAATCAAATCATGGTTTGGGCAGTTTGGGGCGTTTTCAATTTGCTAGTTGCTTGAAGAATATTCTTAAATAATTATCAACTATTTGCATAATATATAACATTAAGTTGCATAATACATTTCATATACATAATACAAACTAATTTTTCATAAATATAACTACTAATTTGCAACAAATTTCACATTAATCTCTCTCACACTCATTTTAATTTTGATATTTTATTAGAGATTAAAAAAAATGTATGCATTAACTATAACGGAGTAGTTTTGAGGGCAAATATAAATTTTAAAATTTAATCTGCGGTTAGTAGAGGAATTGGTGAGGATTGGGCGGTTTTAACAAATTATGTAGTATTTTATATAGCCCTACCGTTAGCCATAGTTAATACACATATACATAATATATATTTATTTATTTCCAATGAAATATAAAATTAAAAATAAATGTGAGTGATATTTGAGATGAAGAATTTGTTGCAAATTAGTGTTATAGTATTATATATTATATGCATACGTTTGATAATTATTTAAAATTATTTTTAAATTAACTAACAAGTTAAAACTATTTAAGCTGCAGTTTGATTACCGATAATAAATTTGCCACCATCCACAATTTGGTTATAATTTTATCGTCAAATTATACCGCACTACACCACAGAGAGTATTGCTATAATTTTGGACATTTTTTGAACTCACTAGTGTTGTTTTGAAAATTCAAATAATCCTTCTCTTAAATATTTGAGGGAAAATGTCTCGTAGCTCAAATTTTGTGGCTCAAAAGTGGCTCAAATGGCCAAAACGACGTCGTTTTGGCCATTTTTATGTTGTTCTGTACTCAAAACGACGTCGTTTTGGCCATTTAAGCCACTTTTGAGCCACAAAATTTGAGCTACGTAGCATTGTCGATATTTGAGTATAGGTTATTATTGGAAAAAATCATATTGGCAGTGATTGGGATGGAATTATTAAAACTTTAATTCCAAAATAATTTACACTTTTTAAAACTAAAAAATATTTTTCATTTAAATAAATTTATTTTTTCATTTTTCATTATCCTAAAAACTAAAATATAAAGATTTTTTTTATATATAAATATTCTAAAGCGTTAGTAGTGTTGGAGAGTCGAGTATGGACCAGGGACGGATGCAGGATTTTAATGTATGGGGGGCAAGTGTACATGCAATCAAAAAATTTGTAATGAACATGTGATAGACAATATCAATATCTACCCAAATATCACAAAAATATATAATTAGATGTTTCCATTCATCGTATATAATTACAAAATATTATCAAAATACAATTTGATATGTTCTAGTAAATCCATATTAATTTTCAAAAAAGCAATTATTTGCTCTACATATCTACCTAAGCATCTAAAGTTGTGCTCAATAGTTGACAATAGAAATGTAATACAAAAGTATAAATAGATGATTGAGAATTATACAAATGGTTCCATAACCAGCATTACCAAGTTCATAGTCCAATCTTTTTTTCCCAAATAATAAATTCTAACTCTGAGAGAGAGAGAGAGAGAGAGAGAGAGAGAGAGAGAGAGTGTGTGTGTGTGTGTGTGTGTGTGTCCTGGATGAATCACGATCTTGAACGCCAGAAGACTCACGATGCACGAGAGAGAGATTGTGTTTTGGGTCACTGGTTCTAATGATTTGGGTTCACCGGTTGTGAAATAAGAGAAAGAAGAGAAGCTTTTTTGTTTTGAATATATGATGACTGCTCCAGGTAGGTTACTATTGCCTATATATGATTGTGATTTGTATCTTCTTGAGTAATCATTTTTTTTTATTTAGTTATAAGCAAACAATTAAAAAATTTGGGCCCTAATCAGACAAAAAAGACTTTAACATATTAATAAATAAATTCTCAATTATTTTAAGATTACTAAATTTAAAATAAGAAAGTAATCATACTTAAAAAATAAATTATTATTATTATTATTATTATTATTATCGTTATTATTATTTTTTTTTAGTATTTATCAAAAAAAATTAAAAATTTTATACAAAATTTAGGAGGAGGCGGTTCTTAAATTTTGTGCAAAAACTTTGGGGTGGCGAACCTATATAATTGTAAAATATTTGTAATTTTATTACTATATCTAGGGAGTTTTTTCAAAACTTTGGGAGGGGGCGGTCGTCCCTTCCTCCCCAGGTCCATCCCTGGTATGGACACAGCACAAGAAGAAAAAAAAGTGAATGCAGCTAATTACTGTAGAATTAAGAACTAAGTAAAAAAAAAAGGTAGCTGTTGAAACAGATTTGAGATAGAGAGTTGGAAGCTGACTTACAAGCCAACTGCCTAAGCAAAGCAAGACCACTAAATCTGTACAAATTCCAAAGGATTAATGAGGTTAAAAAGAAAAAAATGTAACTAAATATTTTCCTAGATATTATCATCGTATAAAATGCTGATCTTTTAAAAGATTTTTTTATGGAAAATTCATCTTTATTTTTTCCAACTTACTTTTTTGGTTTAAGGTGAAAGCTTTTGTTGTGATATGTCTTACATTTTTACTGCATATTCAAAATTACTATAAGGGGCTTTTTATAGAAGTGGAGGGTTGAAGTTGAAAATAGGAGTAAAAAACCAAATCATGCTCACCTAGGCCCATGTAGAGGTCTGAGGTCTGATCCAAAGTTTTAGAGGTATATATTATATTTTTTGTTAGGGTTTTTATTGTAGATTGGTTAAGTTTAGATGTTCAAAGTTTTGTAATTTTTATTCCATGTAGTGAATTTGATCTCCTTTCTTCTATGAAAGTAACCATATTGCCGAATCACGTTTAAATTATATTTTGTATATTTAATTTATTTCTCTTATTGTAAATGCCATAACTTACAATTAAAAATTTTAGGTGTTGTACAGTGTCAAAGCAATATTTCTAAACAATGACAAATGAATCCAAATTAAACAAAAATTTATACTTGCATAGTTCCAATCAAGCTAGTTTTAACAAGGAAAATCTTTCAAGAAAAATTGAAATGCAATCCAACGGAAGCTATCTAAACGAAATACTAAGTTTTTGTACAAAAATTTAATCTAATGATGCATATATAGTTTCCCCATCATATGTTTAATAAGGCTGCCTCAATAATACATAAGCAACAGAGGATGCCAACAAATATAATTTACTTAAATATGAAGCATTTGATATGAAACCATTTAAGGTTCACTTACATTCAAAGTGATGGAATTTCTACATTCACCTAATGGCATAGGCAAATCTGTAGGATTTGTGTCAATTTTATTATCTTCAGTTGGCATCTCTTGTGGGCATAGAAAAGGTTTGGGAGGCATCTGCAATTGTTCAACATTCCCTTCAAGCATTTCTACAACTTTGTTCATCGAAGGACGGTCACTAGGCTTCATTTGTATGCACCACAAAGCCACAATTATCATCTTCTTCACCATCACCCCTTCCTCCTCATTAGTCTCTCCCATTTCTATGTCCCTTCCTTCTTTGAATTGATCATAAATCCAAGTAGGAAAGTAAATTTGGCTTGTATGATCAGCAAAGGCATTCAAATTCCTCCTCCTACCAGTCATTTCCATCAACAACATTCCAAAACTGTAAACATCAGCTTTATATGAAACGCCTCCAATGTTTTTGTAGAATAACTCTGGAGCCATATAACCCATTGTCCCCCTTGCTGCAGTCAAAGTCACAATGCTATCATCAGTTGAATACAATTTTGCAAGCCCAAAGTCGGAAACTTTTGGAGTAAAATTCTCATCAAGCAAAATGTTGTGAGGCTTGATATCAAAATGCAAAATTTGCATGTCACAACCCCGATGTAAATATTCAATCCCGCGAGCCACTCCTAGAGAAATCTCATACATTTGCTTACAACTCAATGGTATATATCCTTCTTGAGAAAATATATACTTTTCCAAAGACCCTTTTGGCATGAAGTCATATATAAGAGCTCTCTTAGATCTCTCTGCGCAATATCCAATTAGCTGAACCACATTTACATGATGAATCCTTCCTATGGTAGCAACTTCATTGATAAATTCTTGTCCATTGGCTTTGGGCTTGCCCAATACTTTTATCGCTACAAGATGACCACTTCTAAGCTTTCCTTTGTAGACAGAACCATAGCCTCCTTCTCCCAACATGTCCTTGAAACCTTTGGCCATCTTTTTAATATCTAAGTAAGAGTAGCTAATTGGCATGAGGCGATTTTGACTTCGTAGATAACCTTCAATGTTATCGAACATCGATAAATGCCTTCTCTTAAACTTACGGATTAAAAATGCAAACGCACATAAGGCAAATAGAATTCTTGCCAAAAGGATTACCCCTGTATATAAAAATCACAAGATGACTAATTAAAATCATTTTTTGTCCTGCCATTGTTAGAATTTAGAAGTATTTACCCTAGTTGTGGACAAACATCCGGTCAGGTTCAGACTCAGTTGGATTTAAGTTAAGAAATATATAGAAAACTCTTGTGCCCAAGTCCAACCTAGTCTGACTTCGGGCCGAGAAGTCTTAGCCCTAAACTATTACAATCCCGAGCCTACCAACAAGCCCATATATTAAATAAAAACTAATATTATAAAACTTATAATTAATACTTTTATATCCACAAAAACTAAAGATCAAGCCATATCCTAGGTATAAATTTTCTATAAGTATATACATATTAATAGGTAATATTATGGTAAAAAGGTGTGTACTATAAACGAGTTATAATATTTGTGGATTTAATACCCACATATGTCATAACTCAATTCTATGGAAGTTATAAAAATAAAAAATAAAATTATAACCAAACACCACATAAGATATAACGAAAAAAAATTTGAATCATAACTAAAATAATATAATAATTAATATTATAATAAGTCATAACTAACACCACAATATATATATATAACTAAGTTATATAATTAAGTAATAATTAATACCATAATAGGTCATAATCAAATACTATAAATGTTGTAATTACGGGGGCATATGGTATATAACATTTGTCATAATATATGTTAACAATTGGGTCAAATCAGGCCACAAGAAACATTCCTAAATCCAACCCATTAAGCAGGCTTGAAAAGTCATCCTAACCCAACTTTGTGAGCTTAAATATCAATCTTAAGTCTTAAAAAACACAAGCTTGACAGCCCATCAGGTCGGTGCCCAATCCTAATCCACCTCAAAATTAATTGACAAAATAACTTTTTCCAGTTAAAAAGGGGAGTAACTTACCTGCGATTTTGAGATCGTAACCCCAATTACGAACTATAAGAAAAATTAAACAAAAATCAGCCGACATGAATAAAAATTACAAATAAATTAAACTAAAATCCAGAAACGAAAAAGGAACTCACATTGACAATCCGAAGGATTAATCGATGAATCTGGAAGTTTAAAGACACACCGCCTTAAAACTAACCATAATGAAATATTCAATTAGTCTTAATTATCAAAATGATCAAAAGCGTCTTGATAGGAATGAGAAAAGTAACCGGATGAGATCCAACAATTTGAACATTGGTATGATAAAATTGCACCACAACATATAAGAGTTTTAGGAATTAATATTTTTGGTCTTTAAAAATAAAAATTTTGTTACAAAAGATATTAATTCCTGTTGTCGCAAGAATAATTGTTAAAATATTGTTCTGAAAAGTCAAAAACAAAGTTTTTAGCAACAAAATTTAGAAAATGAATAAGGAACTTTTGAATTAAATATTATGTGATTGCTCACTACAATAAATTAAGATTTTAAAGATTTACAGATAAAAGTACAGTACTTGTTAGGAAAGAAAGAAATATTTTGGTTGTCAGAAGTGTCATTATTATATTTTTAACAACAAAATTTGAACATTAATATTATCATTTCACGACCAAAATTTGTCTCCAAATTTTTTTTTTGGAATCAAATTATTTTGTTACTACAATGCACTTATTAGCGACATTTATAAATTTTTGTCATTAAAAGTCATGTTTTTTGACTTTTCAAAACATCCTTTTAATGACTATCATCACAACGACATGAATTAATTCCTATATATTTTTTGCAATAAAAATTTCACTCTCATATTGTTGTAATGACTTTGAAACAAATGTGAATGGAGAAGGGATAATACTTACGCGTGAAGTCGGCATCCAACTGATCTGCATTTTTTGAAAGAGATAAACAGTGTTATAAACCGAAGCATTACTATTCCTTGGAATGTAGATAATAGGACCTATCAATTGCATCTATTTTCAATGAAGTGTTGACACATAATGTGGTAGATTAAAAGTGATATAAAAATGTGACAAATCTAACATTATTCATATTTGATTCATTGATATGAAAGTGAAATGAAATGATTAGTTTACTAGAATTTTATTTTCACATAAGCACAACAATTAAGGGGTGAAAAACAGAGCATGAGTCCCCCATCAAGAAAATAAACAAATTAAAAAAGAAGAAAAAACAGAGCAGGAGATTGATAGAAACTAGTGAAAATTAACTACTAGGAGATAAAAAAGGTCAATCCCAAAGCCTGATTTCTCCTTTAATTTTACAAACTAGTGTTCCATTTGGCTTCTTGTTTTTCAATTTGAACAATATGAATTTTGTACTTTCAAAATGATCTTGAGGATTAACTGCATACCATACTTTTTTATTTAGAAAAAAAAAAACCGAATGTATATTCCAGGGTAATTACACTCTCATAGTTTCACTTAGCTTTTGTGGCTGGACTATCCTTCTGTCCAGATACTATTCGGACTTGTGAGACCTGCCATAGGTTCTATTTCGACAATTTAAATCATCAATTTTGTAAGATCTTGCATGTATATATCATCTATCAAAATAATAATAATAATAATAATAATAATTCAATCTGATAATCCAAACTTGTTTAATTTATTGTGTTTGTCACAAAAAAATAAAAATAAAATAGATAGTCTATTTTAAAAAATATACTTATCATCTATTTTTTGGAGACATTTCAATAAATTGAATAGATTGTAATTATTAGATTTTTTAATTTGTGAATAATATACATGAATGGTTCTACCAAATAAATTATTCAAATTATCGAAATAAAACTTGGGATGAGCCCCATGAACTCGAACAACACTCTCCAGTCCAAAGATTTTGGAGTGCAAACAATTTGTTCCCTTGTTTTTTGAATATCTTCTAATTACATTGATCAAGTATCAGATTTCTAACTCTTGTTTTAATGCCGATCTATGAAAGAAAAAAAAAAAAATCTCTTGTTTTAATGTGTTTCTCGGTCACCGACTATTTTAAATAAGTAAAAAATAAAACATAAGAATAAAAATAGAAGAATAAAAGTCCGAGGGTGAAAATGATGATTTGCACTATAAATTTTTAAAACAATTCTAGAATGATCAAATCAAGCAAGTCAAATTTAAGTTTCACAGATTTGTGAAATAATTGAGAAATTGAATCAGTATTATGAAGGTGGTGTCCAGCCCAGGGGAGCTTTTTGTGTTTCCTTCCAGACAAAATTCAAAATAAACGTTGTGTGATTGCTTAGAAATGAAATAGACATAGATGGAGGAGGGGGGAATACTTACCCCACAAGCTATGTTTCCAGAAATATTTCCAGCCAGCTGCAATTTTTGAAAGATTAAACAGTTAGAAATCAAAAATAGTCCCCTTGGACTACAAAGGATATTAATGTGAGTAGGAAAGCAAGAGACTGATAGAAACTAGTAGAAATTAATTAGTTAAGCGCAAAGCCTGATCCCTCGTTTAAATTTACAACCTTGTATTGTCTATCATGTCAAAATTATGTGTTCCATCTAGCTTCTTGTTTTTGAATTTGTACAAATAAACTATACAGAACTTTGAATTTCTACAAATAAAGATACACCATGCGTATCTTTTGTATTTTTGTAAGGGTGATATCAGCTCATCACTAATATGTAGAATAGAAAAACTCACTTTTCAAATGTAATTTCTTATTTCAAAATAAATTCTACACATATACATATAGTGAGGGTTTTTATGCATACATTATATTTTGTTATTGAAGGATAATTTTTTTTTTCTTTTCATAATTGTATGTAGGTACTTGTATTTAATTTTATTGTAATATTGAAAAAAATGTATGGCGTTCGTCCCTAAAAAGCTGTATATGGTAAGAAATGAAAGTTATGAATGTGATATGTAATATGATATTTTGTGGTAAAGTTATGAATAATAAATTTATGGTGTGCATTTTAAAGTTATGAATGGTGGAATTGTGATACTTTGTGATTTTTGTTATGACACTTTGTAATTTTTGTTATAACATTTTAAGGAGAGAAAAGTTTTAGTAACTTTTGTGGTGAGAAAAATTATGACATATTATAATCCATGCTATGAAATTTTAAAAAAAAGTAATGAAGTGTATATAACATATGCACCTTTTTAGGGATGCAAATTATAAGCAACTCCATGGAATATTATTTGAAAAAATTACAAAGAAAAAGGCTGGGTTCTATCCTTATAACAAAATAAATTGTACATTTTTAATTTTATCAATTTAAATTCTAAATCTTTTGATTTATTTTCAATCTAAATTATTTGCCTATTTTTTATAAGTAAAATTGGTGGAAAAAAATATTTTAGACATTTTATATAGATTTACATTGATTTTAATAATTAAAATATCATTTTTTTTTTCAGTTTTACTTAACAAAAATAAGCAAATAACTTATATTGAGATTTTTTTTTTATAGAAATTAAGATTTAAATTGATAAAATTAAAAACTCAATATTTATTTTGTTATAAGAGATTATTTCTCCATATTTTTGTATTTGATAATAATAAAATGTTCATTATAAAAATAAAAATAATAATAAAATAAGATTAAAAAAAAGGGTGTCTTGGACGTACGCACCTAGAAAGGCCGAAAACCCACGTAGACCATGGCAAACGGCGGCGGTGTAATTTTGAGTATGATTGGAGGAGCAATGCGCCTGAAGTCTGCAATATTCGTAGTTGTTGACATACCAGTAAAGATCAAATCCATCAGCCAACGCGTTGTGGACCTCCAACAAGCTCGTCATGTTACGTAAACGATCATCTGGAAGCTGGAACGGCCTTATCGGAAAAAGCATGTCGACGCTGCATAAGTTTGCAACATCTGACCAATCAAGAGAATAGTGGCCTTCAAGAGAATGGTAGCTTGCGACCAGAACGTATGAATGCTTTTTCGACGATGACGAACCTCTGACTCCTCCTTCTCCACCTCCTCCTCGTCCTCCTTTGTTTTCACAGAAAGCAGTACTAATATTACTAGTAGTGTCTATGTAGATAGGAGATTTCACTGGTTTTTCACAATTCACTAACGCTACAAATGATTCTGAATTCTCAGTACTGTAATATATGGGATCTAATGTTTCAGTAAAGTTATAAGGAGTTAAAGAATGAAGAGGAAGAGAAGAGCAATTATTCCTCTGTATCCCCACATCCACCAGGCTGATGGAGCCGAAGCCAGTTTCATAATAGTTGATGGCCTGCACGTAGTATTTACCAGAAAACAAGTATACTACTGTCCGATTGTTTTCGCACTCAAGTTCCACAAACTTGTATCCACAATTATCAACTGGGTCGGATTTGAGTCAAAAGGGGAAAGTGATGTTATGGATATCTCCACAAGAAGAAGAATTACAACAATTTACACAAAAGAGAACATGAACAAGAAGGCTTATGTAACCAGCAGCAAAGAGGAGCCTTCCCCTAAACATGGATACACACACACAGAGGTTTAACAAGGAACAGAACCACAAATTTCTGTTGGCCACCCACCACGAGAGTTGTAGAGACTTACAAATATAAACAAGGCTTCCAATACAAGTAGCCACTTTGGTTCACAACACCATTTGTCCCCTAATTGAGATTTATAACCAAAACCAGAATTAATGTCACGGTAAATTACAATCACCTCCCCTAAAGTTTTTTTTTTTTTTTTAAAAAATACAATTAATTCAACACCGTCAACATAATTACACTGCTCTCGCTTGATACTTTAATTATTGGTTTTCTTGAAAAACTGTTAATTTCCGGTGTTTTTTAAATTTTTAAAAATTTTTGGACTTCATTAAAAAATTTGTTAGTTACTCTGTTTTTTTCTTTACTTTGTTAACAAATGTTGATTACATGTATTTTGTTTAATTTGTTAGCAAGTGTCGTTTATTCTTTATTTTGTTTGTTTACTTTGTTAACAAATGTTGATTACTCTTTATTTTGCCAAGAAGTGTTGATTACTTTTTGTGGGGACATATTTTTTGGGTAGTCCATGTGGCCGAGGTTGTTAGCCGAGGTGCCAAGTGGGAGGACTATGGTGCCGAGATATGGTGCGGTAATATCGGAATCCAAGATATTTGGATAGAGGACTAGAGTTCTAGATGACATCAAATTACCTATTTGGATAGAGATGAGACTCTTGAAGGAGTTCATCTTAATCTAAATTGTGTGAGTTGTGATAGATGTTATCCTTGTAAATGATAGAGTCCCATGAAGTGAGACTTTTAGTGGAAGTTGGACATTGATCATTGTAAAAGTAAGGCACCTTCGTGAGTCTAAGGTATACTTTTATTTGGTACGTTTTTTGTATTTTGGCTAGTGAGTTAAGCATTATTTGCTATCTTTGAGAGATAACTGAGTACTGACTTGATCGTCGAAGTGCCCCCGGGTGGACGAACCACCGCCGGAGTCTTATCTTTCTGTGACAGGTTGTTCAAGCGTGATCTATTCTGCCTGTGCTCTTCCGTTGAGTCCTTGTTTGGCAGTATGGTCAGAAATCAGCACCCACAATTTGGCGCCGTCTGTGGGAACTTAGTAAGGATAGATGTTCAATAACGGACAAGAAGTGAGAATTGGGGACGACATTCATAGTGAGGAGGAGGAACATGTAGATCCTAACATTGAAGGAAGGGACTATAACGAAAAAGTGCAAGAAGTGAATCCTAAGGCGAATAATGTCGCCAAAGGACAAGAAGGGAACAAGAAGGGCAGCCGAGATAAGTACTATTGTAAAAGCGACTTTCAGGTATGGAGGGACAGATGCTAGAGAAAAGACGAGGAAATTGAAAGACATAGCAAATATGTTGACAAATCTACAGACATTGGTCAACCTCATGATTCAGAACAACATGATACAGCCGACATCCCCATTACAGGGCATGTCGACACCAGCAACCAAAACTGGTGCCCAGAAGACAAGATCGCGACCTAGACGATTTGGTCCGAGAAGACAAGAGCTCAACCCAAGTGAGCAGATCCCGGATTCCAAATCCCGGATCCCAGATCCTAGAAGACAAGATCTCGGCCTAGATGATTAGGTTCGAGAAGACAAAAACTCAACTTAAGTGAGCAGATCCTAGACTCCGGTAGACAAGATCTTGGCCTAGATGATTAGGTTCGAAAAGACAAAAGCTCAACTTAAGTGAGTAGATCCCAGACTCCGGTAGACAAGATCTCATCCTAGATGATTAGGTCTGAGAAGACAAGAGTTCAACGTAAATGAACAGATCCCACATCCTGGAAAAAAACATCTTGGCCTAGATGATTAGGTCCGAGAAGACAAGAACTCAACCTAAGTGAGCAGATCCCAGATCCCAGATCCCAGAAGACAAGATCTCGGCCTAGATGATTAAGTCCGAGAAGACAAGAGCTCAACCTAAGCGAGTAGATCCCAGATCCCAGAAAATAAGATCTCGGCCTAGATAATTAGGTTCGAGAAGACAAGAGCTCAACTTAAGTGAGTAGATCATAGATCCCGGAAGATGAGATCTCAGCTTAGATGATTAGGTTCGAGAAGACAAGAGCTCAGCCCAAGTAAGCAAATCGCAGATCCATAAGAGAAGATCTCAGCCTAGATGATTAGGTCTGAGAAGAGAAGAGCTCAGCCTAAGTGAGCAAATCCCAGATTCCAAAAGATAAAATCTCGGCCTAGATGATTAGGTCCGAAAAAAGAAGAGCTCAGCCTGAGTGAGCAAATCCAAGATTCCAGAAGACAAGATCTCAACCTAGATGATTAGGTCCGAGAAGAGAAGAGCTCAATCTAAGTAAGCAGATCTCAGATCCCAGAAGACAAAAAGGAAGCACACAAGATCAGACTGAAATCAGCCAGGTTCTACCTGTCGGCAGAAGGCCATCTATATAGAAAGACTTGTATTAGACCTGTATTGCGATATGTACATCCTTCCCACGTTGAAGACTTTTTATACGAGATCCACAAAGAAGTATGTGGAAGCCATGCAGGGGGCAGATCCCTTGCCCACAGAGCTATATCACAGGGATTCTGGCGGCCTTATATGCAAAAAGATGTCGAAGCCTATGTAAAGAAGCGTGAAAATGTTGTGGGAATCCATAATTATGCGATAAGACTGAATAGTCTTATGACGATGTTCCCATGGTGAGCATAACGAATAACTTAGACTTGCCATATGGTAGAGTTGAATTACACTTTCCATATGGTAGAGTTGAACTAAGTTTGCGATGTTTCCGATTGAAACATGGCAAATAACTTAGACTTGCCATATAGTAGAGCTGAACTAAGTTTGTGATGTTTCTGATTGAAACATGACGAAAAACTTAGACTTGCCATATGGTAGAGTTGAATTACACTTGCCATATGGTAGAGTTGAACTAAATTTGCTATGTTTCCGATTGAAACATGGCGAATAAACTTAGACTGGCCATATGATAGAGTTGAACTAAGTTTGCGATGTTTCCGATTGAAACATGATGACTAACTTAGAATTTCCATGATGGTAAAGTTGAACTAAGTTCGCGACGTTTCGGTATGAAACATGACGAATAACTTAGACTTGCCATATTGGTAGAATTGAACTAAGTTTGTGATGTTTCTGAATGAAACATGATGAGTAACTGAGACTTATTATATGACAGAATTGAATTATACTTGCATATAATAGAGTTGAACTAAGTTTGCGATATTTCTGAATGAAACATGACTTATTATATGGCAGAGTTGAATTATACTTGTATATGATAGAGTTGAACTAAGTTCGCGATGTTTCGGTATGAAATATGATGAATAACTTAGACTTGCCATATTGGTAGAGTTGAACTAAGTTTGCAATATTTCTGAATGAAACATAATGAGTAACCTAGACTTATTATATTGGCAGAGTGGCAGAGTGGATTGGGTGCATGGTGACTCCTTGGTCAGGAGTTCAAGTCCCAGGGAGCACAAAAGAATTATTTTTTTTGGGTTAAGGCGCTAACTTTTGGCGACCAACTTATCTTTGGTCACTAAAAGTTTACTTTTGGCTAATATGAATTGGACTTTTTGCAACCAAAAAAGTTGGTCGCGAATGGTCACTTTTAGCGACCAAAGGCTTTTTTGGTCGCAAAAAACTATCTGTGACGAGGCTTTAGCGACCAACTCGCGACCAACATATTTTGGTCGCGAAAAGGTTTTAGCGACCAAATATGGTACTTTTCGCGACCAAACATGTTTGTCACGGAAAGTGTTTCTTCTAGTAGTGATATAATAGAGTTGAACTAAGTTTGTGATATTTCTGAATGAAACATGACTTATTATATAGCAGAGTTGAATTATACTTGTATACGATAAAGTTGAACTAAGTTTACGATGTTTCTGAATGAAACATAATGAATAACTTATACTTATTATATGGCATAGTTGAATTATACTTACATATAATAGAGTTGAACTAAGTTGAATTAACATAGACTTGCTATATCGGCAGAGTTAAACTAAGAATGGAACTAAGTGTGCTTTAGTTTGATTAACAGAGAAGCCAAGGTTGAACACCTCGGCTAGTCTTTGTTTCAATCTAACTTCGGCGAGAGACCATACACACATGCTTAATGCGAACTTAAGTGGAACTTAGTTTCACATTAGGGGGCAGGGAGCTGAGGAATGATAAATGGGCTTAACACTTGTTGAAATTTCAGAGAAATTTACAAGTTGGAGTTAGCCGAGGTAATTATGAATAAAGTATCTGAGATACATATTACCCAAGGTTAGACTTAGAAGAGTGAAGTCTTGCCAAGAGATAATAAGTACAGGTGAAGAAACAACACTTGTAAAAAGTTTATGAAAAAATGTTTTAAGTGCAATACGGCCGAGATAACTAAACAAGAGTTGTCACCTGAGATTTGGATACATCCGAGGTCCTGGGATCCGAGTTGAAGAACCAAGTTGTCAGACTTAGGAAGTTAAGAAAAATTCTAAAGTATGAAAAAATATACAAGGCACAAAGAAAAGGCAATAAGCATACAGAAGATACATGCAACACTTAGAAGAAAAAATAGAATACTTGCATTGAAAAGAGACAACTTGTTCAAGTACATAAACAGGCACACCGGCCTCGACAAAACAGATACTGTTCAAAACAGAGAAGAAGAAAATACAATTACAAAGAAAAAAAGTATAATGGGAAGAAAAATTCCTAACTACTAGGATCTTTTGCATTGATCTCAGACTGTTCAACCTCGGCTGTTGAAATTGGGCCTCGGCAGACAGTTGGGTAGACTTCTCGGCCGCGATTTCGGCTTCAATTTTCAGAAGAGTCTGGTCCAGACTCTTTGCAGCGGCAGTGATCTTAGTTTCAGAAGTGTCGGACTCCTTTGGCGAGGTGCTTTTGAAGACCTCATCTCCATTCTCCTCTGTCAAGTCCAAGACTTGAACATTTAGAGTAAGGGACTTGGCCCCCGTAGTAGTTTCAGATTCTTTTTCGGCAACCTCAGCCTCGGCCTCTTCCTTGTCACCGGCCTCCTCATCGTCGGCCTCTTCTACTTTCTCAGACCCATCCTCAGATTAATTAGGAGAGGGAGGGAA